AGGCTCCAACCTCTTGTTTTTTCATTCATGTGGCGTAAACTTGGCGTGGCACTTAATTGCAGTTTTAAAGAAAAATGCAAAACAAATAGATACTAATTTCTTTCCAATAAGTAAAACAAATGTGCAGATTCATTAAACAATCAGGCTGATACTGAGTTCTTTGGAATACAAAATATTAGACAAGATTTGAATTAAGCATCTTATGGCTCGCCGAAAATACCAGCATAAAACAGGTGTCTTCAGCGCTATCTCCGCTTCTCGAAGCCATTCAGAGTGAACATTACGCGTACACTGTTCGCACCGCTCTCGTTTGACGTAATGTACTAAGACAGAAATTGTGATTAACTCCCAATCCGGACATTTTCTGTTTCAGTTTTTGAAGACAGTATGATTAAGTATTATCAAAAACAATAAATGAATATTAGGTTCATTGTTATTAATGCGTGGAATCCGTTCTTCAGTAAATGGTGACTCCCGCCGTGACTCATCATATTTCTTAAATTCATATTATTGGTAACTTCTTGAAGTTCAGATTTGCTTCAAAGAAGTTGTGTCCATTTTCTTCTTTTGAAGGATTCTAATTTACAAGAAGCAAATTTCTATAATTGTTTTTCATTGTATAATTTTCTTAATAGATTGCCGCACCTCGTTGTATAATAATAGTGATACCAATCACAAGGTACTTTACAAATCAAGCATTGAGCCGTAACCAATCATTACGTGAACTATGGGACTTCATCGCACAAATGGAAGAGCTGTAGAAAAGTTAATACAGAGAAGTACTACAAATATGCACTAGATGGAAAATCGAAAACCTCAAAATAGGATACTTTCATGTCATTTATGCAGTGATATGGGATCAGTGCCCGAACCTTGGTTCTTGTAGGATATTATTTTAATGAGTGAGAGTTTTAATACAGAGAATGCTTTAATAAATTCCATGAATAAAACATAACTTGTGAAGAAACTTCAATATTTCTCTGATTTTCCTGAAGTACAGTAGAATTTGCTTACATATCGCAGTTACAGTACTTTCGACGGTATTTAAAAATGGAGCAGATCACAGATACTGAAAGTAAATTTTGTTTATTTGAAAAATGAAACTTCAGGGCGTCATAATGGATATATGTGAGAAGTTTGTATATCATTTTACCATTATTTATTAAATATTTTATTACAGTAAAATGCATGGAACATGAATTTCTCCCAAGGGAAGTGTCATTGTGGTGTGTCGTGATTTAAAAAAATAAATAAATTACGTTTAAGGCACGGATAATGAGTGCGAAATTACGCATTATAATTTTGCGCGTTAATTAAAGCTTCGACTAGTGATGTCAACCAAACGCATCGACCTTTCCCTTCCAAGATTGTAAGGTTTGGATAGAGTTTTCAGTAATTCAATATTCAATATCAATTAATTACTCTTTTAGTTTCGTGTTTTGCGCTTCAGAAGCTACTGGCCTGTTTTTCGTCGAATTGAGTTTTGCCGTCTGCAGGGTAAATTAATAACCAAACTTAGCTGGCATTTACATAGGGAAATAAAACAAAGTGTTTGAAAGTAATTGCAAGAATTCTTGACGATTGTGGACGAGCTAATAATAATAATAATAATAATAATAATAATAATAATATCTCAATTTTGAGAACTTTCTTATGTTTGAAAGCATCAGTGAATCATTAAAGTGAAATTTAATGCTCGCTTTTAATAACTTAAATAACAGTTATGAAGTTGTTGAGTTTTGACTGTTACTACTTAGTTTTCACGACAAAATCTTGAGATTGTTCTGAGCGTACACGAAACTGTTGAAGAATTAAACCCGAAGATTACAAAAGGCGAAATATCGTAACGATCGACTGCGGTGGTGAGTAATGTATCTAAACGCTGTTTTCTGCTTCAGCAACTCGAGCCCGGAAGATGTCTCCTAGCTGGTTGGCTCCCGCCTGGTTCAACTCTTCGTAGTCTTGCATTGATTCTTTGGCCTTGTTGTACCAGCGTGAGACGTGCGGGAACTTCCCCAGATCCAATCCAAAAGCCTGCGAACAAATAAGTCATTATTAGGAATGACGTAATTCATGGTTCCAATAGGATAAAAACAAATTTCACTTGTTGGATAATCACAATAAACGTTTTATTGTGTATTAATAATTCTTTGGTGCAAATAAGATATTTTAAGTTCGATAACATGGCACAGACTTTTTCGTATTATTAACGGTTATGTAAAATGATAATAGTAATGACATATATGACAGTATTTACTTCCAATTTTCCTCAAAATTAATTTTTTTTAATATTAGATATTTAAATAACTCTACTTTTAGTTCTTTTTTTCGAAGTAAACATTTTTTTTCGAAAATTTAAATTAATCATGGCAGTTATACAAAAATAAGTAAACAGGATATTCTCAAAAACCAATTTAAATTATTTCTTTTCTTTTGTGACAAACGTTTTGCGTGACAACATAGCAATGACATGACATAATTGCAATTTTGATTAAACAGTTTTATTTTGAAAAAGTAACACATTTGTAACTTTTTCAGGGCACGTCTGTAATAAGAATATTCATAATGGGAATACTGCTAAAGATGTGTTGCACTGTACCTACAGTAAATATTTCAACATTTGAGTAAATTTACAAAACGTGTTGTCTGGAGGGGGAACATGGTCCCCGTAGCCCCTCTTTGGATCCACCTCTGCCTGCGGGAGAGGATTACTTTACCTCGCCGTTGGATGTTGTGACGACGATGGAGTAGTCTGCGATGGTGATGCTGTCGCCGGCCACCCATTCATCGTCCTCGAGGAACTTGTCCAGGAAGCCGAACGCCTCCTCTACTTTCTTCCACTGCTCCTCGCTGGGCTTCTGACCGCGGAACACCACGGGCACCTTTAAGGGAGAGCGTCGCATTGGTACTCGAAAGCAACGAAAGAAATTGATAACATGCCATTCACTTCTAATTAGTTGCTTCGAAACGTCCATGGGCTATTTCTAGCACAACTCTAAAAATGAAGTTTTCACATAAACGTGCTTTCTGTTTTCTCTGGTAGTGAAGCGCAGGAACCGGTCGCTAACTCATCCATTAAGAAGAGTTATTAAAACGATTCATAGGAGTTCTATTTATAATAATTATAAAATGTTTTAAAATAACGGTTTTATCTGAAAATACGTCTTTTCCCGAATTGTTACAATTGCAGTCCACGAGAGAGATTATTTATGAGCCTTTTAATTCATTTGTATAATATCGTATGGAACTGTAGACACTATTTGACTATGAACAATATGCACTTAAGCAAAAAACTCAGTGTCAGTCTGTGAATTTGAAAATAATTATTACTGACTCTACATATCGTTCCGTTTCTTTGAAACTTAGCCACTTGCTCGCTAAGTATAAAATACATACTTTGGGTTATTTATGAAAAAATAGGGCTACTTTCATCATTCCCACCAAAGAATTATCGACACTGAATCATCTGTTGTTTTCAAGTATAATGAATTCACAACGTTTCTGAATTTGTATCTTTGCTGTACTGTAATATGCACAACTACTTTGGCGTATCGTTCTTCTATTTCCATTTTTATTCCTTTTTTCTGGAGGGGAAATGTGATTACCATTGGTTTTCTCTAAGTGGAACTACATACGTGGATTCAACAATGCTGTGTTTTTAGCGTATCATCTACATGCCAAGGTTTAAATAGATAACATTCCCTGTAGGTGTGAAACGCGTAAAAAACGGCAGTAATGGCCACACAAAAATATAATTGTAACTAGAAATGGCTCAATAGATATAAATGAAAAACGTGATTACAAATATATTTTATTTATATTACGCTATTAAACCTTTTAATAATTGAGAAAAAACAAATATTCTTGATCGGGAAGGTTATACAGTATATCGTTACATCGGCCTCCATGACTGTAAGTAATTTGGTTGTTACAAATAGTAAACAGTTTCGATATTTCTAGATATTTCACTAGTTTTCGCCGTGTCTGATATAATAGTTGATTCTATCATACACGAGACAAAAATTTTAAAACATGAACCTTAAGAGAAACCTCCAATAAAACTAACTTAAAAATAAATATGAACTTAAAAGCGGTGAGCTATCTGCACTCCAGTTTACTGACGCAGGTTCTTTCGCGGAAAGGAAGTACGATAACGCGCTTATAATGAGCTTCATGTTTTGCTTGAGCGAATCAATGGAATATGAAAACAAGTATAAGATAATATTTGGTTCATTGATTCTCAGAGGTGTTCGAATTTACGGAAAATGTTAGAAGATAACAAGGGTTGGATCCAGAAAGTATTTCAGGGTCAGTGAAATGCAGGAGGAAGAGGGATTTTAGTTCGTACCCATCTCAATATTTTTTGAAATAATAATAATAATAATAATAAAATAATAATTAATAGCGTTAAATAAAAATGGTGTATATAAATAAAGGGAATGTTACTTTTGATGTCATGCAGTGGATGTGTGGGTATGGTTTTGAATAAATTTGATAACATTATTATAAATGTTTGTCGAGGAGGGTCGGGGTATGTTCCCCCTGGATTCATAATTATCATTTAAAGATTTGACTAAAAAGAACGAGCAATTCCTCTCTCTTTAGAACACGATTCTGTAAATTTATTTCACAGAAAAAGTAAATTAAAATGTTTAGAAACCCACGTACGATGCTTTTTAGAAATTAGCAGTGATAACTCAAAGCCTAACTAGATTGCCATCTCAAAATATGGCTTTTGTACCATAGTTATGGGAGGGGGAAAAATGAAATGCGAAACCAATAATGTTAAATTTTGTTGTTACGTTCGTTAATGGAACAAAACTAACGATGTTGCAAATTAGTGTAACATCTTTATGAATTGCACATTATTGGTTGATTTTTAATAATTTGCTTCGAACAATTTCTTCCGCCCTATGTTAATTTTACAACCCATTCATTGATGTATTTTGTCCTTCAAGCACCCTGCAGAAGAAGAAACACCCGCAGAAATGTTCGCTACGTCTACTTTGCATGTTTACAAATAATAATCTTTCCAAATTGCATTCCAAGCTCCTGATAAAAACCTTCAAACGCATCCTAATTTGTCGGCGAGTAGGTCGCGAAACTGTGCTCGACGCCGAGTGTCACCGTATTACGCACCATGTAGTCGTAGAGGCGCTGGTGCAGGGTGCCGGCGTCGAAGTAGAGCCTGGCGTTGACGCGGGCGCGCCGTTTCGGCTCCTGAGGGTACAGGGAGTCGTCCTCGGCATGGCGGTCCACCAGGTAGCCCAGGATGGCGCGGCTGCAGCAACATGCATCAAGTTTTCAATTTATTAAAATTCTTGGAGAATATTTTTTTCTTTATTTTATTATTATTTTTTTCAACTTATTTTTTTAAGAGACTAGACTGTCAACATGGTAATTGTACTCGGACCATTTGATGTTTCTCAACAAGAGTATTTTATTTCATTTTTTTTTTTTTCAGAATCATTTCACTTGACGGACTCCCAACGGACACGCAGACCGACTCAGCCTGAACACCGACTGTGAAGGTGGATAAGATAGCCGGGGCCTAACGTACTACACCACTTCCTCTGGACTCAGAGGTTAGTAATTATCGAGTCTTACCTTCCTGAAACTCATTCCGCTCCAGCAACCTGGTATCAAACCCGAAACTTGATTAGTCGGTTATAGGTGGAAACTATTTTCATAATTTAATTAATATATTATTAATGTCTAACACATGCACAGCTGCATATAAATATGTATTTTAGAAAAAAGTCCTTCGTGGAGTGATAAAATAGTTATTTATGATTATTATTACCATAAAATCGAAACATATTTGGAATCATTTTATACATTTAAACTGTTATTCATATTTTACTTGATTATACGTTATTAAAGGAGGCAGTGATAACTCGGAGCTGAATGAAACTTTCACATATTTCTGTAGCAATTTTGAGTAATATATCTCTCCTTCGTAATTCCTGTGATTTGATTATTCATTCGATTCATGCACTGTCTTAATTCGGGAAATAGTCACACTAAATATCACTCGAAGTGCTGAGATAGCCGGTAAATTCACTCCTTGCTATACGAATGCCTCAAGATTTTACCATCACAGCACTTCTTGTGATATAGCTTTTGATAAAAAATGGTAGATAGCACACACTTTTTTTTAAATTTATAATCCGATGAAAATCAATAAACTATTTTGTCCAACTTTTGTATGGAAACTTAAAATAATTTCATTTTATTAAGTCAAAAGTATTCTTTGTGAAGAATGGTTTCATAAATCATACCAATAGATTATTCAGACTTCATGACGCTTCTCATCAAGTGAGTTTCATTATATCTGCTTCAATTCAGCTGTTAACTGAAGAAAATTGTTCACATTACCTTTCACACAAAATCAAATCTCCTTCTACGAATGTTGGGATGGTATGTTGCGGATTGAGCTGAAAACGAAGAAAAGGCGTTAAAAAATATTTTTATGATAATAAACAATAAGACATGTGCATGACCCAATAAGAGATAGTCCTAAGCCACAATTTTGAATTTTTTGAGTTGACCGTATAAAAGTTATCTCTGAGAAAACACATTCCCTTTCAGTATGGGAGATTTTCATTTTCTATCCACAAGGTAGGAAAACAGCTATGGTACTGATTGTCTTCGCCCTTAATTGATTTGGATGAGTTCACTAAGCATTAAGAGAGCTGACTCAAACCTGCACGAGCATTGCCTTTGTCTCTCACAGAGGCTTTTGTATATTTAGACATTATCCGTGGCTAATACTATTCTATTTAAAGGGTTTGCATTAAAATGAAAACTATTAAGCAAATGCAGAAAGTACTAATAAAATTACTACGATTACCTCACTGCAAGTATTTTTGGAACACTTGAACGTATTATGCAAATGGCTGATTGTACTGCGTCTAACACGCTAGGAGCATATTATCATTAATAATAATCGCCCAACATCTAGTTACTGTAATGTTTTTGCTTTGTTACAATTTTTATTCGTTTGGAATCACTAGCCAGTGAACACTAATGCTGTGATATGTGGAGAATCTTTACAATACGAGTAATAATATAATTCATTTGGTGTTTGAAATAGAACATTGGATAATCAGTTGTGAAAGAAACGGTTGAGCACTGAAATTAATGGTCGTTTTCCTATTTACGTGATGTACTATGACGTTCCGGTTTGATGTTATTGAATTCTTCATAAATAGTAAAGCCTATAAATTTATTACGTTACTGCAGATTTTTGCATTATTATATAATATATTTATAATACGACGTCAAAATCAACATAACTTATGCTGGTAAATTACCTAATAGGGGGCCAAATGTCACAAATATAACTTCTTTGTATGAAATTTCCTACCATATGATCATTAGCAAAAAGAGAGCACCTTCGATCCCTCTACATGTCCTACAAGTTTGTAACATATTTTTATTAGACACTTGAATATGGAAGATTTGGTACGTTATGCGCTATGCCGGATACGTTAGATCATATTTCAGTTTAGACTTGTAAATCATTGTAATATTGCTATTGGAACCATATTATATAAAAGGCATCCTTTAAAAAAAATATTTCCTCCTGTTCGGCATTGCTGCCTTTCAGGGATGTTAACATTTTACAAAATAATGTTTTGACATTTGTTCTCAAGCTAATTGTCCTGAATATGACAGGCTGTATTCAATGTATAATTTTGAAAATTGATTTGATGTGAATTTATTTTTATAATCCATTGAAAAAATATTTATATGTTATTATTTTATATTAATAGCTGTTGGGAATTAATGACGTTGAGTATTTATGGAGGTCTGAGTTTATCCTTGGGAAATCGTGAGCATATTCTATTTGGTTTTGGGTAGTTTTTGCCGAGTTTGAAGTTGGGCGTTGCTGGAGATCCTGAAAGAGTGTCAAAGAACTTGTGAGAGGATTTTAGGATGTGTTCTTGTATTGGCTCAATTCGCAATTCTCTGTGAAGTTGTTTTTTTTACTAATAAACAGGGGAGAAAAGGCAGGTGTAAATGAGCGGGAGTGCGCAGGGAGGGGCTGGTACCTTGACGAAGTCGACGGCGAGGTGCTCGCCGGCCATGAGGTCGACGTGGCGCAGCTCCAGCTTGGCGTCGATGGCCCGCGCCAGCAGCATGACGGCGCGGCACGGGGGGCTGGGCGGGAAGTAGTACAGCTCCATCGGTAGAGAAGTGCTGCCAACAGGAGACGGTCTCTTAGATCTTCCCTTTATATCCACAAATCTCTGCGCTCGATCACGTTTGGGGATTGACTCCTCTCCTCGCCTTCATGCGATTAGATTGTGTGCACAGGGCGTGCCACTTGAAGATACTTGTATCGTCAGAATCACGTTAACAATCACATGCGATAATAAAATTCTGGCGAGTGTCTGTACATGATAACATGTGTTCTTTTAAATCTACTTCAACTGAAGGATTCCTAGAACACCTTCATTGTGAGGGCCACAAGAGTGACATCGTCGGAAAGCATTGACACGCCGGGAGACTTGTGACAATAGAAAACCACACCTATTCTTCTTACAGTCGCAAGCAGGCTCATTCGTTTTGATATACTAGTATATTGACGAGAGGGTTGGTCATGTACGTTTTCTGTGAATCTGTATGCTACGGAAATATTTGCATTTTCAATTCTTCCGTGTTGAAAACAATTCGACGATGATATTTTGCCGAAAATATCCTAAACCTTCTGAATTATTCGCAGTACAATTAATTTGCATGAATATTACTCATAATGATTCTTGTTTCTTTAATCCACCGTTTATTGAATCAGTGAGTATATTTTTCATTCCGATTACTCGATCTTGGAATCAGTTTCCAGAAAGAAATCAAAATAAACCCACGACACTCTTGCGAGTCGTGTGCAGGAAGTAGTCGCATCGATTAAAAACGCCCTGTCCTTGGCGCCGTTCGTTTTACGCCCAAGGAGCGCCGCCGGCGGGCGCACATCAAAAGCAGAGGCGAAGGCGACGTTCATTATGCAAGAGCGAAGCGCGTGGGTGGCGATAGGAGGGTCGCGTTTCGATCGACGCCAGCGGTATGCAACGGCGGAGGAGAGACGAGCGGGCGCATTCTGGACAAGGAAAAGATAGGGAGGATAAGGGATGATAAGGTGCCTTTGCATTTGCTGTTCACCGGCTTAACGGCTCAGGGCGTCAACTGATGCCACTGCAGTGCTTCTGACAGGGGGGTAGGGTTCGAGTCCCGACGGTGGCAGGATTTTCGACACAAGCTAAATAGATAGATCGAATTCAGCCTCTGTCTTTAGGAGAATTCTAGCGGCTGGCTGCTCTGATCGGTGGTTTTCTGTGGTTTCTCAGATCAATACCAAAAGAATACCGGAGCAGTACAGTAACAAACGGGCCACGGACCACACGCGATATTTACTTCCCGTTGCTTGTCCATTCCTCACCCCCTTACTTACACTTACATGCACCACACTACCGCAAATGTTGGATGCTTAGAGCTTGCTCGATGGTGGGAGATACCTGGTTAAGGGAAACCCGCAAGCCGCCGAGTAGGTTGGCACCGCATCTCGCTATCCAGCGGGGAAGATTACCGCCATCTCCCGTGACCCCCCCCCCCGTGAAATAGTATTCTAAGTATGTCTCTACATAACAAATAATGCCGATATTTGAGAGGTCATTTTTATTGTGCACCATCGGTCTGTAGGTTTTGGGTCATTAGTAATAAACGCTTACAATCTTTAGGTTTTGTGTCATTTGTAATAATACTCGTACATTACAAACCACAATCTACTCTTTGGCCACAGGAAAGCTATCGCGAACGCTGTTTTTATTTATAATACTTTATTAATGATATAAAATCTTTATTGTTTTAAGAATGAATCAAACAGATCTCGCTTATCATCTTCTTTGCGAATGTCACATTGGCTTTTGGGTTGACGTTGTTAAGAGGCTTGATGTGGCAGAACCGCGCGCAGAGATGCGTGTTGATAAATAATTATTACAGCGCTCTCGTCGTACCCTGTTTCTTCAGTGTGATGTCTATCAGCGATAGCACATTCCTGACTGCTGTTTTTTTGTGAAAAGAAAAAAAATAGTGGTATATTTCGAAAAAGTAGTCAGTAAATTTTTGCGAGAGCATATTGATCAATACTTGCAAGCAGCATTGGCCTTTTAGAAAATGAAATGTTGCAAGATCAGTACAGCTTAATGAAATAATCTAAACGATATCTAATATGTAACACTCACCAGATTTGTAATTTTGACACATCTTCAACTGTATTTTGGAAACGATAATACTGTTTTTTATACGTTAGAGAATATAACTGGGCGTTCTGTTGTTTTTTATGATATTTACACGCAGGTTTAATTTCCCTTTGACAAACATTTCTCTCAGTACAAATTTTCATTTGATAAGCCTGGAGATCCAAAAGGAAACTGAAACGTGAACTAGTTCATATCCTTTGTTCACATTAGAGACGCCCCTGTTTTGAGGAGACGTGGGTGAGGTGTGGGGTGTGGAGGGGGTGTTGCTGATAAGGGCTTCTGTAAAGCTCACGAGGTGGGCGTGTGAAACAAGAGACCACGTTGTGGCTGACTGGCTTTGTCGTCGAGCATACCTGGCAGGGGCTTTTATGAGACTTCATCGACCGACACGCGTCCTTGTCTCCTTGCTTCCACCCTTCGCTTGTGTATCAGCTTCGTTTTTCCTTCGCCTTTGCACCTGCATTTGCCTCGTCATCATTTATTCTTCACTCGCTACATCGTTCCTGGCGCGCGACTCTTCCGTGCTCATGCCGTTTCGTAATCGTCGCGAGCGACCTTGTGTCACTTGCCGGCGTGTGCCCCTGTATTCTGGTAATGCCCTTCCTCACGGTTTAGTTGACCTTTCGTTCCTCTTTATTAAGCTTCATTATATAGAAGTCCCTTTCGTCAATATTAAAATTCTCAAAAAGGTCCCTGGATGACTTAACTTGATTTCCTTTTACTGACTTCGCGTTTTGAAGATACCTGCAAAGACAAGACGCTGAACATTGTTTATTCAATGCTAGCAGAATCTTTACATCCTGCAGTTAGTGTAATCTTTTTGATTGTGTTATCCAGAAATTGCAAGACGAATCTATTTCTGAAACACTAGGCGTTTAGTAGAGTCATTGATATTAATTTAAGACTTATCAAACTATTTCCGTCTTCAGTACACATTGTTTTAAAACATAACAGTGAGAATAGTTTTACCATTTTCATTTTGATTATTAATCAGACACATATATTTGCTAAGGACGTTCTCTCTACAAGTGAGATATGCCACTTCCTCTAGATATTGATTGATGGATGACAGATTTTTATTTTTTGTTATTTTAACTTGCGTCACTGCTACATAGTTTTTGTTCCGGCAGCACATTTACAAAGCGTTCAGACTAGTAATTCTCCCTTCCCACTCTTTTGCCCTCCCCTCTCTTTTAATGTTCAAATATTTAATGTATTTTAAAACATTACTTTTAGTTAGAAATTGGTTCTAATGGCCGTCATTTCTTAGCACTTATACTACAACAAACTTGGTCAAATTATGTTTCATGAAAATTAATGCTAAAATCAATTACGATTCTGAAATACTTTTGCACTAAGTGCATGTCGATAGTTAATTAGGTTAATTATTTTATCAAGAAAACATTTCGTTGTCATGTTTTTGTGACATTCATAAATCATTTACGAGGCAACACTGTGTTTTCCGCTTATCTGAAAGATCAGTTCCTGTCTCTCTAGGTCTCCAATCTACAAATACATGAGAGCAATTTATTGACGTAATTTTAGCAAGGTGGGTGGAAGACACAAAGTTATTTTCAATAGATTTGTAGTGAATCACATTGCGCCATTTTCCAGGTTGTTTTCGCATCTTAATTTATTCACTAACATGCACCTCCAGATGGTGCATATTAACATTTTCAGTCAGATGATAAAATCGTCTTTCTCATGTCATGCAAAGAAACTTTCTTCTAAGATAGCATTTACACAAAAAGCATTGAAAGCACGAAGAAACCGCTTAATATTCTTTCGCTACTCTGCGGAATTTATATTGCGATGAAAGCTGAATCTCAACACTAGAGAGATTTGTGTTCACAATGATTCAATTTCCTCTTCAATTCGCAAGCAGTTACATGTATTTAGTTTTTCTTGAAGAAAGGAAAACTGAATTCTAATGATTTCTTGTTTTAAAGATGGAATACTCTAGGCTTTATTTGTTGAAAATTTTGCCGCGCAATGTGTGAACAACAATGCTTTTGAACATTCTTAGAAATGCGTGCAAATATATAGTAAAGCGGTAACATTCTTTGATTCAATATAATTTTAAGTTGAGAAAAAAGGCGTGAAAATCTATACTAAAATGCACTTTTATCTTAACGTTATTCTCTTTTTTAGAATGAATACTCACGTAGCAGAACCCAGGCGTTTGGTTCGCTTATAGGCTGGACTACAGTTTAAATGTTTGGTTGACAAGACTTGTTATCAATAATTTCGAGTCGTCTTTTACCTGTAATTATGATCCCAGTGGCAAAAATCCTCATATGTAAATAATTATACTTCTTTGGAATGTTTTGAGTTTTTAAAGCGATCTATTTGGTACATATCATCTCTAACAAGACGTTTTATCAATAAATGTATGATTTAATTCACACAAAAAAATGTCACGTATAAATGCAGGTAAACTAAATATACTCTTATTTTCTTTGAGGTATGATGAACTTATAAAATATAATCAATTCGCCCGCTCCTCCGAAAGCTCTGTGGAATCACTGTTGCAGCCATCCCTTCGCTGTAGCTCCTTCATGTTTCCCCAAGGATTCATTAATTCGTTTTGTAAAATGATTTGAACATCACAAAAACATTTTAGTATAGTAATATTTAAGCGAAATATTTGCGCACATTGACTACATTCTCATACTCAGTGCGCCACTGTTTACGGCACAGCTGACGTCATGCGACAGCAAAGCTCCTTGGAAGAGGCAGCTTCCCATTGAATATTTGATATTTACGTGTTGCGTTATGGAACAGCAAGTGGGGAAGATATTCTGGAGCTAAAAAAAAAGAGTGTAGATCATACTTTCTCCTCTACACGTCACACAGCTTTTTGCTGTTCTTTGACGAAAATAAATAAAAAAATCAAACTTATTTGCTGTACTTGGTACGTAAAGGATTTCTGTACTGTGCGTATATGAGCCTTAAGAGTGCTGCGTTTGATAACAATTCGAGGGAAGGAGTGAGGGCGGCTACGCGAGCCGATTCACCTTCAATCATTGGCTTCCGAGCCCCATCCGTGGGGGCCTCGCGGCGCGGAAAAAATCATAAAGTATGTGAAAAAAAAGCCTTAAAATATGTTCATTACTGTGAAATAATTGTTAATCAAATAGTCCGCTTTACTAAAAAGATTTTATCGAAAACGTATTTTTTTTAATAAAAAAGTTGATAAATGTTAATGCATTTGTAAATAAGAAATACGTAAGTGTTAATATATATTCAATTATATAAGCAGTTTATCGTAATTTTATACAACAAAAAAACTGTTATAACTAGTGTTTTTTCGTAGGATTTTGTCAGCCGGGGTGGGAGTACAGAAACGTTCGTGCTCGGAAGGAACTCCGCAATACCAAATTCAGCCATCGCGAACGGCACTCGTGCGAATAGCGCAAGCTCCCGGAAACAACGCGCTGGAGCGCGCTGGGTTTGATCTTTGGTGGCGGTGGCGGGCGCGCGCCGCGAAGTCCATTGACGGAAGCCCGCGGGCGCTCTTGACCTTGGCGAGCCAGCCGCCACTCCGATGTGCGGCGCGGTGCGGCGCGGTGCGGCGCGGCGCGGGCGTGATTCACCTCCCGGTGGCTCGCCCGCTCGCCCGCCCGCCGGCTCAGTGCACGGATCCTGCGCGTTGCGCGGCCGCGCTCCTTATAAGACCCGCCGGGCCGAGCTGCAACGCCGCTGCACCTTCTGTTAGTCACAACGTTGCCTGTTATCGTCCGTTAGTCCCAGGGCTTTTGTTCCGTAGGAATTCGAACCGATTAATGTTTCCTACAAAATGATTACGTCTGCGCAGGACAACCCGCATCGCAATGCTTTAAATGCATTTGAAATTAATTACGTAATAAATATTTTGCGTACGATGGGATTGTTCAACGAAAAAACATTTAAACACACACACACATTATATATTATTTTATTGTCAGCGGGGTGGGAGTACAGAAGTTTGTGCTCGGGAGGTCTCCGCAATACCAAAATTCAGCCATCGCGAACGGCACTCTTGCCGAATAGCGCAAGCTCCAGAAACAACGCGCTGCGTCGTGTGTGTGTTTCGTTTGGAGACCTGTACTTTTTTATCGATTGCAAAAAAGGGCACTTGCACATTGAAGATAAACACATCATGAACACAATTCAATAACGCGTTGTTAAGGTCTTTACAATCACTTTAATTCAAAGCTTTGTAAATTGAATTATCTGTAATTATTCTTCCATATCACTTTCAAATGTTTTTGTAACAAATCTGTTTACTCATGTTATTAGTATTTCATATCCTATTGTGGTTGTTAAACGAAATGCAGCAAAGACAGCACCTAACTTCAGTGATAATAAGCCGAATTTATGAGCGAATAATTTCTTAAACTTGCTGCTATTTACTGCTAATGTGTATTTCTCTGAAATGAACTTTGAGACTGAAAATTTAAGCGAGCAGGAAACGTAACAGTAATGAATTGTATTGAACAGATCCTTGAAGAATCTCGTAAAATTTAATTCTAAAAAATTTAAAAAAACCTTTTTGATGGAATTCTTTTTCGAGAATGGATCAAAGCCTAAAACATTATACAAGAATCTCTTTATGATTATTTAAATCTTGGTTAGCTCTGTACTGTAATTACAACTACTTGTTGCTTCAATCCTTCGCCCCGAATCACGTGACACAAATTAATCGATAACTCTCTCAAACGAAAACAAGGAAAATAACGAGTTACTTACCACATGATTGATCTTCAGGAAGCTTTGGCTGGAAGACGGGAGTGCTGGGGAGTGCGTTGTGATCTCAGTGCACGGTGCAACCACACAGACGGCGACGGCACAATACTTACTCGTCGATGGCAGAAGACACGACCACCTTATCCACGCAGAGCCCCAGGGTGCTGTGCCGGGCCGAAGCGCGCGCGCGGCTATATGTATACTCAAATCTGGAGGTTAGGCCACGTCACACCAATGACTCGCTGTTCCTTCCGGGAAATGTCTTACATCTGCGTCGGCTACTCCGTCGTTTGACATCACTTCCGAAAGTGGTCTCAAGTAACCAGCCCCGGCCTTAATAATAAAATAAACAGGGAAGGTGCCCATTGGCTGACTCCACGTGACGTCGTGAGTTACCATAGCAATGAACTTGAGTCGAGTGCGACAACAAACCTCGTGGCGCGAGGGTGGGGCGTGGAGAGGACCGGCCTGTGCCGCGCAAATGGTTAGGGCCTTATGCAGAATTTCAAAGTCCGCAAGGAGTTTAATGATATCGTTAGCATCGTTTACGAGTCTAAGAACCGGTACTCTGTCGTTCGTTGCTGTTTTTTCTATGAATGAATATCGTTTCATAGATTTTCTCCCTCGATTCGTATAAAATTGCGGACTTGTTAATTATAGCTTTTCTGAACATAATTTGGAACATCTTTTTTGATGACGGTACTTTTGTTTGCATCATTTCCGGTGATTAGGAAAGAAATTATAAACGTTGATTCTTTCGAGACCATTAACTTGGACTCAACACGCTTCTTGTGAAACTGGATATACATTTTCTCTATTCATACGAAAATATTAACTTACAAGTAAAATTCATAATAATTCCTTGAATTTTTAGATTTCTAGCTACAATCACATGCAGAACTAATTGTTTATTTTTAAGCTTTAATGTGGGTATTTGGAACGAACGTCAGCTTTCTCTGCCTGTGTACTATTGAATTACAATTTGTTTTTCTCATGGGCGCCATCATCACAAAATTATTGGAGTGGGATGGACGATTCAATAGATAAAGCAGGCCAGGGAGTCCCTGCCATACCTCATATACAAAACAAATATTGGAGTGCGTGGAAAATGTTGCTGACGCGTTCACCTCGGACCCCCCGGCGGTGACGTCTAAGGCCCTTGCACTTCAGAAATCACTTGCAAGCTAATCGCAAGTGGTCGGACCTGTAATTACCACGGCTGCGAGGAACATTTTGTCATTGTTATCCATTTTCACAGCAAACGTTTTTGATAAATCCCATCTGGATCAGTCTTCGCTCCACATTATACTGTCAAGTAAGGATAATTACACACACGCTAGCCTCAATTACTTCGAAGAGAATTCCCACTTGTGATTAATATTATACTATACCATAGTCAACGATCAAATCTATTTAAAAAAATATAACCCGATAAATAAAACAACCAGGGCGGAACTTCCGTCTAATATACCAAGAAAATAGGCGTAGAAAATAGGGCATAGAAAATTGTTATAAACATATAGTTTTTATTTAACTATTATTATATATGTAACAATACAGAAATGAAGTGGCTGTTTTACGAGAATTACTAGAACATATTTTTTCTCCAAATTTAACTTTTTTTTATATAATTTAATGTTAAATTAACATTCAAGTTAGTTAAACAACACCCAGGCCTTCAACCGGATACTTTATACTTGTCTTCTTTATTCAAATAAAAACAAATCTTCACCAACTAAGATCATTTTTATACCCCCCCCCCAAACACCTTTAAAATTCAATTTCCAAATAATTCATCGTCGATCTTAATTTTTCAGAATTAAAAATAGTCCCAATAAGCTCCTTTATCACCCTCTAAAATAGTGTCCATGATTCATGGATACGGCCATATTATTCCTAAAAAATCGATTTTTACATATTCAAAATTTCGCATTAACCATGTTAAAGAAATATTATTTTCAGAATGAAATTTCATTTATCACCTTGCACCTATCACCTAGCATTTATCACCATTATCACCTAGCTCTGGAAAGCATTTCTCTACATTTCTAAGTGTCCACTGAAAGATATATCTCAGGCCATCAACCGATGTCACTGCAGTTCCTCTGATCGAGAGGTCCTAGGTTCCAGTCCCGACGGTGGCAGAATTTTCGACACTAGGTTGTGACCTAGGTCGAATTCAGTTGCTGTCTGGAGGAGAATGTTAGCAGCTGGCTGCTATTGTTTCACGCAAAATTACCAGAAAACTACTCGTATTTTCGAACATTTGTGCATAACCTTATTTAAAGATCCGATATTGAAGAAAAGATTTCATTCAGATTCATTACTATAGTTGCAAGGCGACGTAAGCATTTTGATCTATTTCAATTTTCAAAAATTCTGGGAATTCAACGAAAATGAAACGTACCTCTCTCTTCTAAACGTTTTTGTTCGAGCGGTCGAAAAAATTTAACAAATAATTTCGAGCCATTGTTGAGAAAATTATGAAAATATTGAGGGTTTATGTAAAGTACGTCCCAAAATCAAAATATCTGTTTCAAAATCAAGAGGCCGTTACATCAGTTACATTGATAGGGAATTATCAATGTTG